TCGCCAGGCCGGGGCGCGGCTGCGCCTGTACGCCGTGGAGAAAAACCCCAACGCCGTCGTCACGTGAGTGCCGATCGATAACCAATCGATAACCCATCGATAGCGATCAATAACCCATCCATAACCCATCGATAACCCATCGATAACCCATCGATAACCCATTGATAACCCATCGGTGGTGATCAATAACCCATCGATAACCCATCGGTGGTGATCAATAACCCATCCATAACCCATCCGTGGTGATCAATAACCCATCGATAACCCATCGGTGGTGATCAATAACCCATCCATAACCCATCCATAGCGATTGATCAATAACCCATCCATAACCCATCCATAACCCATCGATAACCCATCGGTGGTGATCAATAACCCATCGATAACCCATCGGTGGCGATCAATAACCCATCCATAACCCATTGGTGGTGATCAATAACCCATCCATAACCCATCGATAGTGATCAATAACCCATCCATAACCCATCCATAACCAATCGATAACCCATCGATAACCCATCGATAGCGATCAATAACCCATCGATAACCCATCCGTGGTGATCAATAACCCATCCATAACCCATCCATAGTGATCAATAACCCATCCATAACCCATCAATAGTGATCAATAACCCATCGATAACCCATCCATAGTGATCAATAACCCGTCCATAACCCATCAATAGTGATCAATAACCCATCGATAACCCATCAATAAACGATCAATAACCCATCGATAAACGATCAATAAACGATCAATAACCCATCAATAAACGATCAATAACCCATTGATAACCGATCAATAACCCATCAATAACCCATCCATAGCGATTGATCAATAACCCATTGATAACTGATCAATAGTCCATCAATAACTGATCAATAACCGATCAATAACCCATCCCTAGCGATTGATCGATAACCCATCGATAACCAATCAATAACTCATTGATAACCCATCAATAACCCTTCAATAACCAATCAATAACCCATCAATAACCCATCAATAAACGATCAATAACCAATCAATAACCGATCAATAACCCATCAATAACCCATTGATAACCCATCAATAACCCATCAATAACCCATCAATAATCCATCAATAAACGATCAATAAACGATCAATAACCCATCAATAATCCATTTAACTACGGCTAATTAAGGCCATTAATGAGCTAATTACGGCTAATCAAGGCTAATTAAGGCTAATTAAGGCCATTAATGAACTAATTAAGCCTAATTAAGGCTAATTAATGAACTAATCAAGGCTAATTAAGGCTAATTAAGGGTGGAAATTCCCACTGGGGGGATCAGGGAGGGTTATTGATCACCGATAACTCATTGATCCCTTATCGGATTGAACCCGCGATCGCTCCGGCGGGTTATTAATGATTATTAAGGAGCTAATTAATGCTAATTAGGGCCATTAATGAACTAAGTAAGGCTAATTAAGGCTAATTAAGAGCGGAAATTCGCACTGGGGGGATCAGGGAGGGTTATTGATCACCGATAATTTATCGATCCCTTATCGGATTGAACCCGCGATCGCTCCGGGGGTTATTAATGATTATTAAGGAGCTAATTAATGCTAATTAATGCTAATTAGGGCCATTAATGAACTAATCAAGGCCAATTAAGGCTGTTTAAGAGCAGGAAAATGGCACTGGGGGGATCAGGGAGGGTTATTGATCACCGATAATTTATCGATCCCTTATCAGAATGAACCCGCGATGGCTCCGGGGGGTTATTAATCATTATTAAGGAGCTAATTACGGCTAATTAGGGCCACTAATGACCTAATCAAGGCTAATTAAGGGTGGAAATTCCCACTGGGGGGATCAGGGAGGGTTATTGATCACCGATAATTTATCGATCCCTTATCGGATTGAACCCGCGATGGCTCCGGGGGTTATTAATGATTATTAATGAGTTAATCAGTGCTGATTACGGCTAATTAGGGCCATTAATGAACTAATCAAGGCTAATTAAGGCTTTTAAAGAGCAGGAAAATGGCACTGGAGGGAGCAGGGAGGGTTATTGATCACCGATAACTCATTGATCCCTTATCGGATTGAACCCGCGATTGCTCTGGGGGTTATTAATCATTATTAAGGAGCTAATTACGGCTAATTAGGGCCACTAATGACCTAATCAAGGCTAATTAAGGCTAATTAAGAGTGGAAATTCCCACTGGGTGGAGCGGGGAGGGTTATTGATCACCGATAACTCATTGATCCCTTATCGGATTGAACCCGCGATTGCTCTGGGGATTATTAATGATTATTAACGAGCTAATTAATGCTAATTAGGGCCATTAATGACCTAATCAAGGCTAATTAAGGCTAATTAAGAGTGGAAATTCCCACTGGGGGGAGCAGGGAGGGTTATTGATCACCGATAACTCATTGATCCCTTATCGGATTGAACCCGCGATCGCTCCGGGGGGTTATTAATGATTATTAACGAGTTAATTAATGCTAATTACGGCTAATTAGTGCCATTAATGAACAAATTAAGGCTTTTTAAGAGCAGGAAAATGGCACTGGGGGGATCAGGGAGGGTTATTGATCACCAGGGAGGGTTATTGATCACCGATAATTTATCGATCCCTTATCGGATTGAACCCGCGATGGCTCCGGGGGGTTATTAATGATTATTAAGGAGCTAATTAATGCTAATTAATGCTAATTAGTGCCATTAATGAACTAATTAAGGCTTTTTAAGAACAGGAAAATGACACTGGGGGGATCAGGGAGGGTTATTGATCACCGATAATTTATCGATCCCTTATCAGATTGAACCCGCGATGGCTCCGGGGATAATTAATGGCTATTAATGAGTTAATCAGTGCTAATTACGGCTAATAAGGGCCATTAATGGCCTAATCAAGGCTAATTAAGGCTAATTAAGAGCAGAAAAATGGCACTGGGGGGATCAGGGAGGGTTATTGATCACCGATAACTCATTGATCCCTTATCGGATTGAACCCGCGATCGCTCCGGGGGGTTATTAATGATTATTAACGAGCTAATCAGTGCTAATTACGGCTAATTAGGGCCATTAATGAATTAATTAAGGCTAATTAAGAGTGGAAATTCCCACTGGGGGGAGCAGGGAGGGTTATTGATCACCGATAATTTATCGATCCCTTATCAGATTGAACCCGCGATGGCTCCGGGGATAATTAATGGCTATTAATGAGTTAATCAGTGCTAATTACGGCTAATAAGGGCCATTAATGGCCTAATCAAGGCTAATTAAGGCTAATTAAGAGCATTAATGAACTAATTAAGGCTAATTAAGGGTGGAAAGTCCCACTGGGGGG